AACAAAGAAGAACCGATATCTAGAAGTCGAATTTTTACGACTAGTTGTTCCTCGTCGAATTTATACAATTACCAAATGCATTACGTGGTTATTGCTCATAAAATTTTTCATCGAAGGAGAGAAATTATTCATGGCTTCAGTATAGTAAAGGAAGCTCCTATTTTAAGGCACTTTACTATACAGCTAGAAAAAACATCAAGATAAGGAAAACTTCTCTAAGGTTGGTTGTAGTGAAGAAGAAACTATGTTAGAAGCTAGAATTTACTGTTTTGTTATCGAATAATGTTAATTAAGTAAATAGAAAGACGGATACTCCATTATTATATCAGAAAAGAGTGGGCAACAGTTAGCGGTGGATGATGTTGACTAGCTGTCTCTTCCTTTGTGTCGCTTTCTGAAACAAATAAAACAAACACGGTGGGTGGTGATGACTAGCTGCCTTTCCCCTAGTGACTAGTCTTACACTGCTAAATTAGGGACGGCTATCGTAGATAGCCCTCGTGTAGCTTTGCGCGAAATTCAAAAACAAACAAACGAAAACATTACATAACCTCACGATGGAAAACCCGGTGTGTGTGGCTGATAAATAACGAAGGACAAATTTAGCTAGCTAGAAAGAAACTTTTATATCGCTTGTAAGTTTGTGAAACTTTTGTTTATAAATCATTGTTTGTAATAATTATTTGTAAAAACTGTTATTGTAATTATTTTAGCAGCCTTAGTCATTAAGATTAGAAGGCATTAAGTGTTGTTTCAAGAACAAGACTGCTTTGTAAGATGTTATTTAATAGAACATACAAGCAAAAAACATCTTACAAAGCAGTCTTGTTCTTGAATGTAGTTTAATCCCTTTTATGAACCACTATTGTGGTTCCTTATATTAAACTACATTCATACCTTCTGTGAATGTTCACAAGAGGTATAGTCGAAATCAAATATGCGAACTATTAAACGAATACAGCTGATAAAACTATGATCCAAGAACAAATATTATGGTGTGGACACCATTAACAAGCTGGCGAAGTAAAATTATTATTATACTGGCTATAAGACATCAGTAGTAGACCTATTACGTTTTTAAACACTACATAGGTATAGTCGAAATCAAATATGCGAACTATTAAACGAATACAGCTGATAAAACTATGATCCAAGAACAAATATTATGGTGTGGACACCATTAACAAGCTGGCGAAGTAAAATTATTATTATACTGGCTATAAGACATCAGTAGTAGACCTGTTACGTTTTTAAACACTACATTCTTTATCTAGTCCTTTAGGGATTTTCAAGAATTAGAAGAGTGTATAATAATGTTATTCCAACCACACCATATTCGCCATATCCATCGCCGACGATGCATTTTACTCAATCTGGAGCTCTTCAGGGTCGGAATACCATTTATATAAGCCATTTGTTACAGCAAGGATTTTTATTGTGTGAACGCATTTTACAAGCTCCAGAATGGTTAAAATATAATTTTGGACATATGTATTGCTATAATAGAATGGAATAATACAGATACCAAGAAAAATACTTATAGATGTAAGTTTGAAGAAGTATTACATATACATGTCATAGTAACGTATCCTATAATTTTAATAGTTGACCTTTTAATTTACGTACATTGCTTATTTACCAGTGATGGTTGGGTTTGTTTCAATAACTTAAATTCAAGAATGTTTGATATTATTTCTAATGTAATATGAACCTTTTAGACACGTGTACTAAAGTTTGATTAATAACTATTGACAGTGTTCCAGTTTAGTTGTAACTGGATTAGGGAACTGGATATATTGATCGTTATCTTATTTACTTGAATTGAAATGTCTCATAATAAACTTCAGTTTGCATTAAACAAAATTCAAAATAATAGCAACTAACTTAATATAAGATATTCATTCTCCACGTTAAAAGAATACAACTAACGCAATACAAACTATTAATACCCACAGACTGCAATTAAATCTCACTTTACAAAACTGAGCATCATATAAT